TTTATTTATTTATTTTCTCTGTTGCCATATACGAGTTTGTGGTAATCAGTCTCAAGATCTGGTGTTGCCTATAATACCCTAAAAGTTAAATCAGAGATGCACAACTACTGTTTATCATACTTGAATCAGTAATTGAATCCTGTATATGTTCATCCTTTGCTCAGAAATCGGTCTGTGCAAAAATCCTTATACTGTTTGGTTGATTACTAAATTGAGCCTGGTGATTGCTTCCCTTAACTCTGTTGGTTTTATTGTTTTTGACTCCTGTGTGCGAAGCACAAAAAGGGAGTCTTTACAGTTAGTGTGTCTGTCTGTGTGTGTGTGTCTGTTCCACTGATATCTCAAGAACCATACATTGATTTTTGATAAAACTTAGTGCATAGATGCCTCTTGGCCAATGCGCAGATTTGATTAGGTTTTGGTAAAAATCCATGCATATTAATTACCTAATTTGCATAATAATTAGCTGATTTTTAGCTGTTCCATGATTGTTCCACTGATATCTAAAGAACCACTCATTGGATTTCGATGAAACTTGGCACATGGATGCTCTGAACTAATGCGCAGATTTCATTAGCTTTGGGTAAAAATCTGTGCAATATTAATTACCTAATTTGCATAATGATTAATCAATTTTTGGCTTTTCCACTGATATCTCAAGTACTAATCATCACATTTTAATAAAACCTGGCACATAGATATCATAGGACACTGCACAGACCTGATAGTTTTTAGGGTAATATCAGTACATATTAATTACCTAATTTGCATAAATAATTAATTTTTCAACTTTTGATATTTCAAGTAGTAATCATCACATTTCAATGAAACTTGGTACATAGTTACTTAAAGACTGTGCAGAGACCTGATTAGTTTTGGGGTAAATATTTGTGCATATTAATCACCTTATTAGCATAATTAGTTAATTTTCTGCCTTTCGCCTGATAACTCAAGTACTGATCATCATATTTCAACGAGACTTGCTACATAGATCCTCTAGGACTATGCAGAGACCTGATTAGTTTTAGGGTAAATAATTGTGGATATTAATTACCTAATTCGCATAATTAGTTAATTTTTTCCATGAATTTTTATAGAGTATTTATCATCACATTTCAATGAACCTAGGACTATGCAGAGACCCAATTAGTTTTTGGTAAAGTATTTATGCTTATTAATCACCTACTTAAAATAATTAACACTGATATCTCAATTACTGATCATCACATTTGAATAAAATTTGGTACATAAATGCTCTGGAACAATAGACAGGCCCGATTAATTTTGGGTTGAAATTTGTTTATATTAATTCTCTAATAATAATTCATAGTTTTTTGTTCTAATCACATTTCAATGAAACTTGGTACATAGATATTACATTTCGCAGGCCTTATTAGTTTTACACTCAAATCTGTTCATATCATTTACCTGATTTACATAATTAGTTATTCCATCAATATCTCAAGTACAAGTAATTTTTAATTAATTTTCAATGTGTCTTCAATACTCTCAGCACACGGGAGTTCTTTCTAAGTTTTCTTTGATTATATGATTATTATAGATCACTGCAGGCACTGCCTTCCTACATTTACTGTTCAATGACTCACTCACTGGCAATTCTTGGACATGCATACATGCGTTTCACTTCATAGTAATTAAGAGCTGTTTTAATGTACTGGCTTTTACTCAGGGGATGCGATTATGACGCCTGGCATTTACACACACATTAGTGCTTTGTAACGTATTTTGACAAACAACAAATATATCGCGTAGAATGCCATCGTGAAATTAACCAAGATGCAAATATTGTTTACTTTTCTCAATGTGATTGTCTGTTTTATTTGTCTATGCATGTGTGTGTATTTTATGTTTGTATATTAACATGATTTATCAGAAAATAGAAATGCAATAAATTTTGATTTTTTTTTCATCTCATGTGAGTGATTAGGAATGGTGTCTGTAAATATGACATTTGAAGTATTAAACTTGGCAGATTGCTGAATGAAACAATATTGATGTATACATCATTATTGATTTCAACGATGCAGCCTGTTTTACTTGTGACTGATGTCCTTATCGTCCGGGCAGCTGTACCGTGAAGGGAAAGTATGAAACTCTGACATGAATTATTTTTGGAGTAAAGATCCACGATTTAACGCCGGACAAACACCCATCTCCCTCACCAAAAAAACAACAACATTAATTCTTGATGGTGGGATTACTGTCAAAAATCATGTGTTCTAGTATATTGAGATATATATATATATATATATATATATATATATATATATATATATATATATATATATATATATATATATATATATATATATATATATATATATATATATATATATA